CCCCCCCCTCGCTAATTACCCCCCGCTAATTAGCGCTCACCCCCTTTCCGTCGCCTCTCAGCAGCGCAGCCCCGTCCACGAAGCGGCACTTCCGGCTGGGAGCCGCAGGCTGAGCCACCAGAGCCCAGAGGGCGGGGGGGGCGGGGCCTCCGGGACACCTCCGAAGCTCCGCCTCCAACTCCGCCCACAGCGCAGCCTCGTTAACGCCGGCCTCGTTAACGTCCGGCTCATTAACGACGCCCCCGTCGCTCTCATTGGCTCCCGGAAGAGTTTCGGCCCGCCCGCTTTGCACAACGCCGCTTCCCATTGGTGGGTTCCCCACCGTGGCTCCGCCCACCTCGAAAATCCGCCCGCTCCCCTCATTGGCTGCTCCTGTCGGCTGGTCCCGCCCACTTCCACCACAGACTCCTCCCATTGGTGGGCCGCCCCCGGCAGAGCTTCCCATTGGTGGGGTCCCTATGGTGGTTCCGCCCACCCCAAGGACCCGCCCACTTTCCCCACTGGCTCCTCCCATTGGTGGGCCGCCCCCGGCAGCGCTTCCCATTGGTGGGATACCCACGGTGGCTCCGCCCACCTCCTGATCCCGCCCACTATGCCCACTGCCGCCTCCCATTGGTGGGGTCACCCCTGTAGCGCCTCCCATTGGTGGGATCCCCACAGTGGCTCCACCCCCCTCCTGATCCCGCCCACTTTGCCCAGCAGCGTTTCCCATTGGTGGGGTCCCCACACTGGCTCCGCCCACCTCAAGGATCCATCGACTTTCCCCATTGGCTCCTCCCACTGGTGGGCCGCCCCCAGCAGCGCTTCCCATTGGTGGGGTCCCCACACTGGCTCCGCCCACCTCAAGGATCCGCCCACTCTCCCCATTGGCTCCTGCCATCGCTTGGGCCCGCCCACTTTCCCCATTGGCTCCTCCCATTGGCAGAGCCCCCCCTGTAGCGCCTCCCATTGGCGGGGTCCCCACGGTGGCTCCGCCCACCCCGAGGACCCGCCCACTTTCCCCATTGGTTCCTCCCACCTCTTGGGCCCGCCCACTTTCCCCACTGGCTCCTCCCATTGGCGGGGTCACCCCAATGGCTCCTCCCATCGCTTGGCCTCCCCCACTTTCCTCATTGGCTCCTCCCACCGCGAGGACCCTCCCACTCTCCCCATTGGCTCCTCCTACCGCTTGGACCCGCCCACTTTCCCCGCCGCCTCCTCCCATTGGTTGGCTGCCCCCATTCCCCTTTTCCGCCAGTCCCCTCCATCCGGGTTCTACCACTTCCGGTGGCGGCCCTTTTTCTCCGCACGTCACTTCCGGCGCGCCGAGGACCCCCGGGGGCGGCTGCGCCATTGCCTGAATGCAAACCGCAACCAAATTAAAACCCCTGAAAACGGGAAAATCCGCCCCAAAATCCGCACAAGGGG